ACGATGTGGGTATATTGGTGACAACCAGCTATATCACTGTGAGATCTGTGATGTGGGTATATTGGTGACAACCAGCTATATCACTGTGAGACGATGTGGGTATATTGGTGACAACCAGCTATATCACTGTGAGACGATGTGGGTATATTGGTGACAACCAGCTATATCACTGTGAGACGATGTGGGTATATTGGTGACAACCAGCTATGTCACTGTGAGACGGTGTGGGTATATTGGTGACAACCAGCTATATCACTGTGAGACGGTGTGGGTATATTGGTGACAACCAGCTATATCACTGTGAGACGGTGTGGGTATATTGGTGACAACCAGCTATATCACTGTGAGATGATGTAGGTATATTGGTGACAACCAGCTATATCACTGTGAGATGATGTGGGTATATTGGTGACAACCAGCTATATCACTGTGAGATGATGTAGGTATATTGGTGACAACCAGCTATATCACTGTGAGACGATGTGGGTATATTGGTGACAACCAGCTATATCACTGTGAGACGATGTGGGTATATTGGTGACAACCAGCTATGTCACTGTGAGACGATGTGGGTATATATTGGTGACAACCAGCTATATCACTGTGAGACCGTGTGGGTATATTGGTGACAACCAGCTATATCACTGTGAGACGATTTGGGTATATATTGGTGACAACCAGCTATGTCACTGTGAGACGATGTGGGTATATTGGTGACAACCAGCTATATCACTGTGAGACGATGTGGGTATATATTGGTGACAACCAGCTATATCACTGTGAGACGGTGTGGGTATATTGGTGACAACCAGCTATATCACTGTGAGATGATGTAGGTATATTGGTGACAACCAGCTATATCACTGTGAGATGATGTGGGTATATTGGCGACAACCAACTATATCACTGTGAGACGATGTGGGTATATTGGTGACAACCAACTATATCACTGTGAGACGGTGTGGGTATATTGGTGACAACCAGCTATATCACTGTGAGATGATGTAGGTATATTGGTGACAACCAGCTATATCACTGTGAGACGATGTGGGTATATTGGTGACAACCAGCTATGTCACTGTGAGAAGGTGTAGGTATATTGGTGTCCGCCTTGGCGTATCACCAATAACACTGTTTGGTGAAGTTGACTGCCTACTTGACCATAAGTCAGCTTGACCTCAAGGGCTGGGAAAGTAATCCTGATCCAGTATTGATCAAAGTATTGTTTAAGAACATGTTACAGTTTAGATCTTGACCCTAGCTTCAGCAATAATACCTATAAAGTTGATCCAGGATATAGACCGTGCTCTCCATACCCACCCACCATTCCACAGGGTTCTTGTATTGTTTTAATGATTGATAACTTATAAAGGCTTGCATTGCTATGCTGTGTATATGGAGGTGTATTAGTCAATATGGACTGCCATTACGTCACTGAACCCAGTTCTGATTGAGCGGGTATTTATTGAGGGGAACAATCAATGGAGGAGAGTCACCTTGTGATGATCCAACAGTAGGTAGCCCTGAAGGTCACGTAATGCCCAAGATAGCGTCACCCTGTAAAATTCACAGTTTGGGTAAACAGTTTTGTTGAAGAGTGTTTACTTGTTCCTTATACTTCAACATTTTATGCTTTAGTTCAATTCTGCATAGGCTTTTTATTCTTTATTTAATGTAGATGTTTAAACATCATTATATAAGTAGTGTGGGTAGATATCTGTCTCCCCTTGTGGTGACTGTCAGGAACATGGCCTCGCATGGTGTTTGAGTTAAATCAAGGTCGCACACCCTGACTGCTGTTGATACATATTGACTAAAATCCCTCAGTGGATGTTCACTCAGAAATTTGCTCATGAACACATGGATATATATTTAGTATTCAATGTTGTTGTTACGTCTTGCTGGTGTTCGAACTATAACCAAGGTACTTCAGTCAGTCAGTAATCAAATCTTGAAGTTGTGACATATAATCAGGGTCTCAGGTGAGATCTTGTTCCAAGACACACTCTTTCACTAACACTGACAGTCATAAATGCAGTCCCTCCCGAAAGATCTGGTTTAGAATTGTTCTTCATGAAGCCATGCTTGTGTTATGAGGCTACTAAGCCAGTTTGGTCACAGGTCAGGCTTACTTGGTTGATGCATATCCTTGTATCCCAACAATGTAAAGTCATGCTAATGGTGTTAATCCCTGGGTTGTATGGCCAAGACTTTTGACAGAGTAGCTTCATTACATTTGGAATATTGTCGAGTACAGTGTCAAACACCCTGTCACAATCATACACATACAGTCAAAGCATAAAACACAGAAGATGAAGGCAGTCACATACGAACACGAACACACACACACACACACACACACACACACACACACACACACACATGCACACACAAAGAGTTTTTCTTTTCATGAATATTTCGAATACGGATCAATTTCATTTATAATTTTTTTATATTTACTTTGAATATTCTGAGCATTTGTTAGCATTGCTTCATGTAGTGAGTGCAGGAAACGCCTGTTTGAAGTGTGAGGAATGTAGCACTTTTGGGGCTACAACCTCAGTAGCCATTATCTTCCTGGTCACACGGCCTCACCAAGTACCACAGTCACTGTGGTGGAGAATGTCTCGTGCACCTGATGCTAAACACAAATATTGTCACACTTGTGCCTTTTACCCACTGCTCAAGTTGATGTCATTGTTTTACTTAGTACTTCAACACATAGGGTCCCCCCAGTGGAGACCCATCCCTCCCTCGCACCAGATGACTGATGCAGCATAACAAGTATAGACTTTCTGTGGAGCATGATGTATGTCAAATGAGCTTTCCAAGGATAGACAATGCCTTTTAGAAAGAGTATAAAATGCAACATATATGTTATGTTTTGTATTTGAGATTCCACTTTCCCAGGAAAGGACAGATTCTAGTACTTTTTCGGAGGTTGAGTCCCACCTGGGATTTGAACCCACTCTTTCAGAGTAAGGCTCCATATCGCCAGGACTCAAATTTCCAATTACGCATTGAAAAATAATTGTTGCATACCAATTACGCATTTAAAATGTTAGATACGCAAAAAGTTTAAAACAAATGCTTACGGAATATTTTTATAAAAATCGCTTGCATAATGAAAAAGACATCGATTGCTATCAAGTTGTACTGTTAGTATAGGACAAGTGTTGTACTGTCAGTATAGGATCAGTGATTCATTATGAAATCATTTCCATTATATTTAAGTTGGTTTTGATTAGGTATGACATAAGGCAGAACATACCTGCTTAGTAAACTTACTCAATTCCATAATACATAAAATGACTGAAATACGCACATATTTGAAAGCAGTGGGTAACGGAAAATGAAATACCTACTCAACATTCTTAATACCCACTCCAAAGAAATACAGTGGGTACAGTACCCACATGAGTTAAATCTTATCTGGAGCTCTGGTTTTAGGTCTTATTCTTACTGCTACACATCTTACAGCATCACCAGTGTTAGGTCTTATAGTTAATACTTACTGCCACACATCTTACAGCATCACCAGTGTTAGGTCTTATAGTTAATACTTACTGCCACACATCTTACAGCATCACCAGTGTTAGGTCTTATAGTTAATACTTACTGCTACACATCTTACAGCATCACCAGTGTTAGGTCTTATAGTTAATACTTACTGCCACACATCTTACAGCATCACCAGTGTTAGGTCTTATAGTTAATACTTACTGCCACACATCTTACAGCATCACCAGTGTTAGGTCTTATAGTTAATACTTACTGCCACACATCTTACAGCATCACCAGTGTTAGGTCTTATAGTTAATACTTACTGCCACACATCTTACAGCATCACCAGTGTTAGGTCTTATAGTTAATACTTACTGCCACACATCTTACAGCATCACCAGTGTTAGGTCTTATAGTTAATACTTACTGCCACACATCTTACAGCATCACCAGTGTTAGGTCTTATAGTTAATACTTACTGCCACACATCTTACAGCATCACCAGTGTTAGGTCTTATAGTTAATACTTACTGCCACACATCTTACAGCATCACCAGTGTTAGGTCTTATAGTTAATACTTACTGCCACACATCTTACAGCATCACCAGTGTTAGGTCTTATAGTTAATACACACATCTTACAGCATCACCACATCTTACAGCTTACACCAGTGTTAGGTCTTATAGTTAATACTTACTGCCACACATCTTACAGCATCACCAGTGTTAGGTCTTATAGTTAATACTTACTGCTACACATCTTACAGCATCACCAGTGTTAGGTCTTATAGTTAATACTTACTGCCACACATCTTACAGCATCACCAGTGTTAGGTCTTATAGTTAATACTTACTGCACACATCTTACAGCATCACCAGTGTTAGGTCTTATAGTTAATACTTACTGCCACATCTTACAGCATCACCAGTGTTAGGTCTTATAGTTAATACTTACTGCCACACATCTTACAGCATCACCAGTGTTAGGTCTTATAGTTAATACTTACTGCCACACATCTTACAGCATCACCAGTGTTAGGTCTTATAGTTAATACTTACTGCATCACACATCTTACAGCACCACCAGTGTTAGGTCTTACCATAGTTAATACTTACTGCTACACATCTTACAGCATCACCAGTGTTAGGTCTTATAGTTAATACTTACTGCCACACATCTTACAGCATCACCAGTGTTAGGTCTTATAGTTAATACTTACTGCCACACATCTTACAGCATCACCAGTGTTAGGTCTTATAGTTAATACTTACTGCCACATGGTTAACCTGAAGTAACCTTCAACCTATAATGCAGTCTGTTCGTGTATCAACAATCTCGGTTGTATTCCTGCCAGGTTGTTATCCATTCACTAAAGGTAACCTTGATCTGTCCAGATGTCACCAGGATGCCGCTGCACAGCTGCCACACCGAAGCGATCCAACCATGATGAACTCAACTACAAACAGAACTCTAATGTCTTCGTGGTCTTTTGCAGATTCACGAAGAAATGGCGAGCTAAAGTCGGGGTCACTAGGTACTAATACTCCTCCGCCTGAAAGAAAAAGCAGCAAGTTTGCAGCTCTAGGTAAAATATTCAAGCCTTGGAAATGGAGGCGAAAGAAAAAGAGTGAAAAAATAGAAAAGACAGCAGTAGGTGAGTGACCTTTGACCTCCCATATAGATGAGAATTATGTGTTTAGATCAATACAGGTATTGGTACATGAACAGTATGAATAGTTACACTATAGCCACTATAGGCTGGTATGGACAATATAAATATATGAACTATAGCCACTATAGGCTGGTATGGACGGTATGTATATTACACTATAGCCACTATTGGCTGGTATGGACGGTATGTATATTACACTATAGCCACTATAGGCTGGTATGGACAGTATGTATATTACACTATAGCCACTATAGGCTGGTATGGACGGTATGTATATTACACTATAGCCACTATAGGCTGGTATGGACAGTATGTATATTGTACTATAGCCACTATAGGCTGGTATGGACAGTATGTATATATTACACCATAGCCACTTTAGGCTTGTATTGACAGTATGTATATTGTACTATAGCCACTATAGGCTGGTATGGACAGTATGTATATTACACTATAGCCACTATAGGCTGGTATGGACAGTATGTATATTGTACTATAGCCACTATAGGCTGGTATGGACAGTATGTATATTGTACTATAGCCACTATAGGCTGGTATGGACAGTATGTATATTGTACTATAGCCACTATAGGCTGGTATGGACAGTATGTATATTGTACTATAGCCACTATAGGCTGGTATGGACAGTATGTATAATACACTATAGCCACTATAGGCTGGTATGGACAGTATGTATATTGTACTATAGCAACTATAGGCTGGTATGGATAGTATGTATATTACACTATAGCCACTATAGGCTGGTATGGACGGTATGTATATTACACTATAGCCACTATAGGCTGGTATGGACAGTATGTATATTGTACTATAGCCACTATAGGCTGGTATGGACACTATGTATATTACACTGTAGCCACTATAGGCTGGTATGGACAGTATGTATATTACACTATAGCCACTATAGCTGGTATGGACAGTATGTATAATACACCATAGGCTGGTATGGACAGTATGTATAATACACTATAGCCACTATAGGCTGGTATGGACAGTATGTATATTGTACTATATCCACTATAGGCTGGTATGGACAGTATGTATAATACACTATAGCAGCTATGGCTGGTATGGACGGTATGTATGTATTAATACACTATAGGCTGGTATGGACAGTATGTATAATACACTATAGCCACTACAGGCTGGTATGGACAGTATGTATATTGTACTATAGCCACTATTGGCTGGTATGGGCAGTATGTATATTGTACTATAGCCACTACAGGCTGGTATGGACAGTATGTATATTGTACTATAGCAACTATAGGCTGGTATGGACAGTATGTATATTGTACTATAGCCACTATAGGCTGGTATGGACAGTATGTATATTGTACTATAGCCACTATAGGCTGGTATGGACACTATGTATATTACACTGTAGCCACTATAGGCTGGTATGGACAGTATGTATAATACACTGTAGCCGCTATAGCTGGTATGGACAGTATGTATAATACACTATAGGCTGGTATGGACAGTATGTATAATACACTATAGCCACTACAGGCTGGTATGGACAGTATGTATATTGTACTATATCCACTATAGGCTGGTATGGACAGTATGTATAATACACTGTAGCCGCTATAGCTGGTATGGACAGTATGTATAATACACTATAGGCTGGTATGGACAGTATGTATAATACACTATAGCCACTACAGGCTGGTATGGACAGTATGTATATTGTACTATAGCAACTATAGGCTGGTATGGACAGTATGTATATTGTACTATAGCAACTATAGGCTGGTATGGACAGTATGTATATTGTACTATAGCCACTATTGGCTGGTATGGACAGTATGTATGTTATTACTATAGCCGCTATAGGCTGGTATGGACAGTATGTATATTGTACTATAGCCACTATAGGCTGGTATGGACAGTATGTATATTGTACTATAGCCACTATAGGCTGGTATGGGCAGTATGTATATTGTACTATAGCCACTATTGGCTGGTATGGACAGTATGTATATTGTACTATAGCCACTATAGGCTGGTATGGACAGTATGTATATTGTACTATAGCCACTATAGGCTGGTATGGACAGTATGTATATTACACTATAGCCACTATAGGCTGGTATGGACAGTATGTATATTGTACTATAGCCACTATAGGCTGGTATGGACAGTATGTATAATACACTATAGCCACTACAGGCTGGTATGGACAGTATGTATATTGTACTATAGCCACTATAGGCTGGTATGGGCAGTATGTATTTTGTACTATAGCAACTATAGGCTGGTATGGACAGTATGTATATTGTACTATAGCCACTATAGGCTGGTATGGAAGGTATGTATAATACACTATAGCCACTATAGGCTGGTATGGACAGTATGTATATTGTACTATAGCCACTATAGGCTGGTATGTATATTGTACTATAGCCGCTATTGGCTGGTATGGACATTATGTATATTACACTATAGCCACTATAGGCTGGTATGGACAGTATGTATATTGTACTATAGCCGCTATTGGCTGGTATGGACATTATGTATATTACACTATAGCCACTATAGGCTGGTATGGACAGTATGTATATTGTACTATAGCCACTATAGGCTGGTATGGACAGTATGTATATTGTACTATAGCCACTTCAGGCTGGTATGGACAGTATGTATATTGTACTATAGCCACTATAGGCTGGTATGGACAATATGTATAATACACTATAGCCACTATAGGCTGGTATGGACAGTATGTATATTGTACTATAGCCACTACAGGCTGGTATGGAAGGTATGTATATTATACTATAGCCACTACAGTGAAATAAGTTTGATATTTGACAGGTTTTGTTAAATTGTGTAGTAGTCACATCAGGATTGTCTGTTATCAAACGTTTATGTCCTACAGGCATGTGAGCAGCATTGTCATGACTGCATGTTGAATTTTCCAGATTTAGAGAGAAAAATATCTATGCGGACAAGTCGAGAAGAGTTAATACGAAAAGGAGTTTTACGCGAGCCTGAGGACAACGTGCAGAACCATGTACCAAAGATAGGTGAGTTGAGAAGTCTACTACAGGCTGACCACAATGGGCTTCTCAATGGCGTGCGTGCATGCGTGCGTGCGTGCGGCGTGTTTTCCCCACATACAGACTGTAATCACAAGGCTGTAGTGGTTCCCAATGTATGTGTGTATACTCCCACATACAGACTGTAATCACAAGGTTGTAGTGGATCTCAATGTGTGTGTACATACTCCCACATACAGACTGTAATCACAAGGCTGTAGTGGTTCCCAATGTGTGTGTGTATAGTCCCACATACAGACTGTAATCACAGGGTTGTAGTGGATCCCAATGTGTGTGTACATACTCCCACATACAGACTGTAATTGCTGGGCTGTAGTGGATCACAATGTGTGTGTATACTCCCACATACAGACTGTAATCACAAGGCTGTAGTGGTTCCCAATGTGTGTGTACATACTCCCACATACAGACTGTAATCACAAGGTTGTAGTGGATCCCAATGTGTGTGTGTATACTCCCACATACAGACTGTAATCACAGGGTTGTAGTGGATCTCAATGTGTGTGTGTATACTCCCACATACAGACTGTAATCACAAGGTTGTAGTGGATCCCAATGTGTGTGTATACTCCCACATACAGACTGTAATCTGAGGGTTGTAGTGGATCCCAATGTGTGTGTGTATACTCCCACATACAGACTGTAATCACAAGGCTGTAGTGGTTCCCAATGTGTGTATTATACTCCCACATACAGACTGTAATCACTAAGGTTGTAGTGGATCCCAATGTGTGTGTGTATACTCCCACATACAGACTGTAATCACAGGGTTGTAGTGGATCTCAATGTGTGTGTATATCTCCCACATACAGACTGTAATCCTAGGGTTGTAGTGGATCCCAATGTGTGTGTGTATCCCCACATACAGACTGTAATCACTAGGGTTGTAGTGGATCCCAATGTGTGTGTATGCTCCACATACAGACTGTAATCACAGGGTTGTAGTGGATCCCAATGTGTGTGTATGTCTCCCACATACAGACTGTAATCACAAGGTTGTAGTGGATCCCAATGTGTGTGTATAGTCCCACATACAGACTGTAATCCTGGGCTGTAGTGGTTCCCAATGTGTATACTCCCACATACAGACTGTAATCACAAGGCTGTAGTGGTTCCCCAATGTGTGATGTGTATGCTCCCACATACAGACTGTAATCACTGGGGCTGTAGTGGTTCCCAATGTGTGTGTATATGCCACATACAGACTGTAATCACAAGGCTGTAGTGGATCCCAATGTGTGTGTATACTCCACATACAGACTGTAATCACAAGGCTGTAGTGGATCCCCATGTGTGTGTGTGTATACTCCCCACATACAGACTGTAATCACAGGGTTGTAGTGGATCTCAATACCGTATGTGTGTGTATGCTCCCACATACAGACTGTAATCACAGGGTTGTAGTGGATCTCAATGTGTGTGTGTATACTCCCACATACAGACTGTAATCACAAGGCTGTAGTGGATCCCAATGTGTGTGTGTATACTCCCACATACAGACTGTAATCACAGGGTTGTAGTGGATCCCAATGTATGTGTGTATACTCCCACATACAGACTGTAATCACAAGGCTGTAGTGGATCTCAATGTGTGTGTACATACTCCCACATACAGACTGTAATCACAAGGTTGTAGTGGATCCCAATGTGTGTGTGTATACTCCCACATACAGACTGTAATCACAGGGTTGTAGTGGATCCCAATGTGTGTGTGTATACTCCAACATACAGACTGTAATCACAAGGTTGTAGTGGATCCCAATGTGTGTGTGTATACTCCCACATACAGACTGTAATCACAGGGTTGTAGTGGATCCCAATGTGTGTGTGTATAGTCCAACATACAGACTGTAATCACAAGGCTGTAGTGGTTCCCAATGTGTGTGTGTATAGTCCCACATACAGACTGTAATCACAAGGCTGTAGTGGTTCTCAATGTGTGTGTGTATAGTCCCACATACAGACTGTAATCACAAGGCTGTAGTGGATCCCAATGTGTGTGTACATACTCCCACATACAGACTGTAATCACAAGGCTGTAGTGGTTCCCAATGTGTGTGTGTATAGTCCCACATACAGACTGTAATCACAAGGCTGTAGTGGATCCCAATGTGTGTGTACATACTCCCACATACAGACTGTAATCACAAGGCTGTAGTGGTTCCCAATGTGTGTGTACATACTCCCACATACAGACTGTAATCACAAGGTTGTAGTGGATCCCAATGTGTGTGTGTATACTCCCACATACAGACTGTAATCACAGGGCTGTAGTGGATCCCAATGTGTGTGTGTATAGTCCCACATACAGACTGTAATCGCTGGGCTGTAGTGGATCACAATGTGTGTATATACCTACTCCCACATACAGACTGTAATCACAGGGCTGTAGTTTTTCTTGGGTTCAGTAATTGATGAATTCTCCACATGTCTGCACATAAAAATGAGAAAATTGTTCACCCTATTAACCTGACCTGTAAGGGGACAACCTTTTATATATTTTCTGGTGAAGACCTGAACTTTGTGTCTTATCTACTGATGTGGCTGTCATTGGGAACTGAACCATGGCAACTGCAAGTATCATTTGTCTGTTTCATGCTGTGAGAAGCCAGTTTACTGATGTTTTGTGGATTTTTCAATACTATAACAGAGGTTAAATTGTTCGAATGTCACTTCATTTACTTATATCAATATCATTTTTACCAGTCAGTAAACTGAATAGCTGTCAGTTTGGAAGATTGATTGTATTCAACCATATTGATTCATTTACTTGAATTGTTTCAATTTCTCCCACTGTCATATGCCGCTGTATTAGAACTTCTCCATTTTTCAACCTACTGGAAACATTATGAGTGACCTGTTTTCAAATCAGCACAACAAAGGGGGAGTGTACAGCTGCCAGCAACTATATTTAGAGAGTCTGTAAGCTGCAGATGGAATACTACATCTTAAGGTATTATGCACTCTGAACTAAAGGATTACTGCGTGTACTGCAGTGGTGCCAAGAGAGTTATCTCTCCTTGGTTTTGAGTGTTCAAAAATGTATAATATCAACAGGAGTATTATACTCACGCTTCTCTGACTGATGCTGAGTGTCTAAAAATAGTTGGAATGGATGAGCCAGCATGTTGTTGGCTGTGAGGTTCAGGAGCAGTAACCCACATCTCAACATTGTTGTCTTGTGGTTCAAGTGGAGTGGGTTGGGGGTGTGTAATGGATCATGTTGTTGGCTGTGAGCTTCAGAACAGTAACCCACATCTCAACATACTGGTTGTCTTGTGGTTCAAGTGGTCAGTAGGTTGGGGGGATGTAATGGATGAGCCAGCATGTTGTTGGCTGTGAGCTTCAGGAGCAGTAACCCACATCTCAACATACTGGTTGTCTTGTGGTTCAAGTGGTCAGTGGGTTGGGGGGGTGTAATGGATGAGCCAGCATGTTGTTGGCTGTGATCTTCAGGAGCAGTAACCCACATCTCAACATACTGGTTGTCTTGTGGTTCCAGTGGTCAGTAGGTTGGGGGGGTGTAATGGTCGACATGGTAGGCAGGTTAGCAGCCATTGTGTAATGTTCAAATCCATGCTGTTCAGTAATATGTGGTGGTCATAGGTGAGCTGTGAGGATCATCTCTAACAGGTGCTTGATAGTCAATACCCAGCTTATAGCCAGTGTTCTGAAGAACTCAGTAGAGAACTGACTTATCGTGTAACACCGGAACTGTTGGTATTCAGACAGTTATAGTAGGTTCTTCCCAAGTAACGATACGTACTTCGGGGAGTACTACTTTACACAAGATATTCACTGGGTAACACTGGACACTCACTCAGTACACTAGACAGGGATTTACAGGACTCGAATTCCTGCATCCTACACGCATAAACTTGACAATGGACGCAACAAAATTTATTAGAGCATCCACAGGGACTCAAAAAGGCCAAATACCTTTTGTAAAAATTCCAATCAAGTGACAATAAATTATCACTGAGTTTCCTACTAGCTCGGTTATGGTATTATTTGCAATTTAATTACTGTAACAATGTGATGATCATGATACACAATGCAATAACAGTATTAATAATAATATTTAAGTGTCCAGGACCCCTGAAAATTAAGAGTATGAGTCCCAGGGACCCTCAAATACAGGACTCCATGTAAATCTCTGACTAGATATTCACTCAATAACACTACATATTCACTGGGTACCACTAGACACTCACTGAGTAACACTGGATATTCACTCAATAATATACAATTATAGACTGGTGATGAGGTCAATACCTGTTTTTATGGACCCGCGAAAAGCAGTATTGACAGAGGACGAAGTCGAGGTCAATAATGCTTTTTCGTGGAATCCATAAAACAGGTATTGATTGAATCAATTCACTCAGTCTATAATTGTTTTATTATGTAATTACCGAAAAAAAGCTTCTAAAATCCAAAACATGTCCATTTAGTCAAGAAAAGTAATTTTATTTTCACTACAAACCAATAACGTTATGTCAACAATACTGTGACATGTAAACAATAGAATGACGTCATAGCTTGACGTGAATGACGTCATAGCTTGACGTCATAGTAACTCAGGTCAATATGACTTTTGGTTGGACCTGGGTTGGAGTCAATATGCTTTTCTGTCGACGGTCACGTGACCGCCTCTAGACCAATCAGGTAGCCGGAAAAATATGCTTGCATAATAACACTAGATATTCACTGGGTATCACTAGACACTCAATAACACTAGATAGTCACTGGGTACCAATAGACACTCAGTAACACTAGATATTCACTCAGTAACACTAGATATTCACTCAATAACACTAGATAGTCACTGGGTAAAACTAGATAATCAAGCAATAACACTAGATATTCACTGGGTACCACTAGACACTCACTGGGTACCACTAGATATTCACTCAGTAGCACTAGATATTCACTCAATAACACTAGATAGTCACTGGGTACCACTAGAT